CTGATTTATTTTATAAATCAATGCTATCAGACAAACAAAAATACATAAATATACAAATTTTAGTATTTTCAAATATATGTAAAAAGATCCACAAAATAAGGCACAACAATTCTAATTTAAGATTTCAGTTTTTCACAACGTAAAGCCTTTTCAAGCAAAACCCACAGTAAATATATTCACATTTACAGCAGCCTCAGAGAAAACATTAGAACGAGGCAACTTCAACATAAGAGACTACAGCTGATGATACTATGTTTGCACCTCTGAAGCCCAACTGATCCTCCATGACTGCATTTAATGTCAATCATTTATATGAGATGAGCAAAGTCTGTGTATCAAAACGTTTCTGACAATATTGCTGGACATAATTGAGCTATTGATGTAAAGGTGCCTGGTTGTGTTGCACTGACCCGATGTTACTAAATATAGGCTGTCATATATTAACGTTCCTCTACGTTCCTCAGTGAATGCAGCCATTATTACACCCCTGAAAACAGGAAGGAAAGAATCACAAGTGATTTTGTGTTGTTATCTCACAGAGTAGTTTAATGCAATGAGGAGAATGTGCGAAAGCCCCCTAGTGGAGATTGGAGACACTACCAATCGATCCCAGAAACTAGCCGATTAGTATTGTACAGATCGCAGTTCTGGTGAATAAAATGACAACCATTGATGCAACATGAAAAACAATAACTTTTAAAATATTTCCATATCTTATTTACATTGTCTTTATGCTTATGTCGACTAAGATGAATGTGGATTAACTGTATTACTTTTTACTTTCAGTTGTGAACCCTTTTTACATATAAGAATAAGAATACCACATGACTGTGGCCTTGTGTTATACCCTCTCTGCTGCAGACAAACACAAACATCGTGATTAGACATTCAGGAAGAGCCTCCTAAAGATGAAGGTCTGTGTCTCTTGACCTTAACACATAATCCAGTTAAATCTGATTTATGTTCATTAATGCCCCTCACACTGTAACTTAAAATAATAAATCGGTCACTGATTAATTACAGAAGTACGTCTGTGAGCATAAAGATGTAAGCCTTGGACCATCAGGATGAAATGTGGTTGGGAAACTTAACAAGCTTTGATAAAACTTCATCAGTAGTTTGAACAAGACCTCAAAACCTTCGATCACCACGGGTGGTTAGCAGACTGTGGTTGAACCATGCAGCCTAACAACATGCAGTAAATTGCAGGTTAAAGCAGTCTGCTTACACATTGTTAAACGAGGGAAGGGAACTAATGTGGCTGTCACATGACCCTTTTGTCCCATTTCATCCCAGGACTCGATTGAATTGCTGCTCACTTTCTACAGTACTTAAAACTGATCAGTAGGACCTGAAACCGCAAACATTCAAACATTCAGGCCAAGAATCAGCTGGTGAACATATTAATCTACTACAATTAGCAGAAATGAATAAATAAACAGAAGAAAGTTAGAGTGATAACAGAGTCATGCAAGTTTTTGACCAGGAGGTTAAACTCATGCAAATGAGCTTCATCCAGGCTCATGAAAACACCGTCCTGCTTATAAACAGCAGATCATTTGTGTCAGTGTCAGGATGGTTTATATTTGAGCTTTTAGTTCACACAGAACAATTTTTATTAATTGTTTTTAGCAATTACCAAAGTCTGTGAATCCCCAAATTGTGCAGTTGTTCTCTTTGCTCCCCATGAGGTCACTTTCACCATGTGACAAAAACAACACACACTCGGGCCACCAGCAACTTTATAAATCCTCAATAAAAAGCTGACAGGTTGCGATGATGTTCCAAAGAACTTATTAAGAAAACAACTAAATACACAGAAAATGTTATGAAAATTGGTTTATTTTATATCTCATAGTTTTAAATGATGCAATAAAAATATGTATAAAACATCACAAACTGTAATATTTTACAAATGCTTA